GTAGAGATAAGGTCTTGCCAAGTTGCCCAGGCGGGTCTCGAACCCACGGGCTCAGGCAATTCACTCACCTCAGCCTCCCAAGGCATGGGATTTTGAATCTTTTTTGAAGTGGTATAAATTTCCAGCACACTAAAGATTTCTTGGATGTCTCCAATAGTTACTACTGTTGGGTGTCTACTGAGTGCTAGGCACTTGGCACATATTACAATTTTAATAGTCAAAACAACTCTGTAGGGTATTATTATACTATTTTTCAGATGAATAGTTTGAGACTCGGTGAAACCAAGTAACTTGTGCAAAGTTACACAGCAACTGAGTGACAGAACAGGTTGTGAACTCAAGTCTGACCAACTGCAAAGCTGTCTCTGAGGCAGCCTCTGAGACATGGTATCTGATGACTGCATCCCATGTTGGGATGGCTGTCTTAAAACACTGACAAGAGCATTTTGGTAAAATAAATGCTCTTTTGTGACTGAAATACTTGTGTTTCTTCCTCAGAGTTATGCCTTCTCTTTTTGCTGTTTTTTTGTCTTTACTTCCTACTTTGTCCATAAAAAAGAAATGGAACCCACATTAAAGGTCTGGATTCATCTGAGTCACTAATTTCCTAAATAGAAATCATAAGAGACAGTGAAAGGAAAGCCTGCAGTGATCAGGGACATAAATTTGGGAGCAGTGGTAGTCTGGGAGTTGCAGCAGACCTTTTCAAACCAGAGTTTCAAAGCCAGCCAACTTCCTCTCTAAGAGTTCAGACTCTTACTCACCAACGTTATCCATTGTGACAGTCACAGATTCTCCACGCATGGGGAAGAGGGTCAAGGTGTCCTCATGTCTCTTTCCATAGATGAATGAGTGCCCAGTGAAGTGAATGGTCAAAATGTCATCCTGAGTCCCCACACTGCAGAAGTGCCACTGAACCGTGTCATCAAAGCAGAACCCTAGAGTGTGTATGCTGTCAGGCACATAGCCATTGATAGCTGAAAGAGTAAAACCCATTAAAATGCCAGGCCTATGCCAACCAAAGGACATGTGTCTAATTAGACCTAAGATAAATGTCCCAGTGTTAATTTGGTTGTGTCAAAGCAATGAAGATCCAAGACAAGCTTTACCAAGTCTGACATGTGACTAGAAGGTCAGATTCAGAATTCCCCAATGAGTGTATTCTCCTAAGTTAGCCAGAGAGAAATACCGGAAAAAAGACAAAGCTTCCCTTTACTTTGATTTTTTCTTCAAATGTATATTAAATATTTTGTGTTCTAAGCTCTGCACTTAAAGATATTCTAATAGTTCCACTTGGAAGAAAAGAATAATATAAGAAATTCATTTTCTTGATATACTAGTCATTAGGTAAGAACAAAAAAGCTGGTTAGCACAGTATATTTTGTACTTTTTATTGCCTCCTCTTATCATCTATATAATCTATAGTATTCATTCAAGTATCCAGTTCATATACTTTCATTATCATTAAAAGGGACACTATTTGAGGCAATATTTTTATTTACTTATGTACTAAGCATATTAATAAAATTAAAGGTATGATTTCCATGAGACTAGGGCTCATGTCTTCCTGGGTTACCACTATAGTCCTAGCACTAATACAATGCCTGGCACTTAACAAATATTTAAGTGAGTACTTAATCACTTAAATGGGTTATTAGCTTGTACCTCATTCTAGGTGTTTTTCTAAATGGCCTACAGCTACATTGTCTTATATGGTGGCCAGTGGCTACAAGTGACTATTCAGCATTTGAAATATGTGCCGACTGGATTGAGATATGTTATAAGTATAAAATACACATTGGATTTCAAAGACTTAGTATTAAATAAAGTAAATCTCATTAACTTTTTATAACAGTTACAAATTGAAATAATGTTTAGGATATATTGAGTTACAGAAAACACATTATTAAAATTAATTTCACCTATTTCTCTTTCATTTTTAATGTGGGTAGCAGAACACTTGAAATTACATATGTAGTAATCTAGTATTATGATGGATTCACTGCCACGATGAAATGCCGCAACGAAAGCTGAGAATCACTTTCTGTTTAGAATTATCTGAAGCCAAATGAACAGATCATGGAGAAATCATCCTCATGTGTGTGATTACCTATCAAAGAAGGTGACCAAGGGGCTCTCAGCTCCGAGCAATGGTCGAAGGGACCCTGGCTGTGGTGGAACCCTGGCATTTGCTTCCAGTTGGCTCAGGGAAACTTCTCAGACTGCCATGGTAGCAGTTTGGGGCATTGAGCTTTAGTACTGCAGCAAATGCCTGAACCCTGGCTCAGTTCATTCTGTTCTGGATTTCTTCCTGATCACTTCAGACTTCGTCATGCATTGCCTTTCCAAGACACTTGGCCCCCATGTTAATTTTTGCTCTACTTTAAATGGAAAATCCATTTTGGATTACTTATTTTGTTTCTGTCATGTAGAGTATTCACCCTGTTTCCAGTTGAAAATCCCCAGATACTATTGATAAAGCCTATGGCGCCTTCCCTGGCTCCTATCCCCCTCACCCTCTTCCTCATTGCCCAGAGTTATGTGCATTCACACACACACATACACACACACACACACACACACACACACACACACACACACACACACACACGGAGCAGGAGACCAAGTGCACATCTAAGGATAACAAGGCTTTAACCTCTTGCTCAAAAAGGCTGCTATGATGTCGCCCATAAATTTCATCACCATGTCTGTGGACCGAAAGTGAGGATAAGAGGTGCTCTTCAGTGAGTGGATCCTAATCCATGTCTCTGCTTCTAGGCACAGTCATACTTCAACCACAGAAGTGAAAAACTGATGGGTAGAAAGAGTGCTCCCACTTACTGCTCATGATGTTTGATTCATAAAACTTGGGGTCGTCACGTTTCACCTCATCAGGATTCTCACAAAACTTGTTGATGTTGTCCTCAATGTACCAGCTCTTGTTCTCATCAAACACAGCAAACACAGCCTGCTGTTCAATGTCTGCTGCCCTCTGGAGGATGAAAGTGCTGTGTTCAGTCATTAATGTCCTAGCAGATTACCTACAACACTGAGTTCTCAGAAACCAAAGGGTCACAGCCCTTGGGGCCACTGAAGTCACACAACTCAGGCATCTATGAAAGCCGATTATGTATGAAGTACTTATTAGAGCTAAAGGTAATAGCAAAAACAAATGGCAGATCATAAATCTCAGAATAAAATAGTCCAACAGAAAAATCTCATTTCACCAAGGCAACTGTTTATCTCTGCAAATGTAAGCTTTTCAACATGAATGACTGGCTGAATGTGCTCCAATAGTTGCACAGGATAAAACAGACGGTTGCAACAGAAAAGTCTTATGCCTCTCCTACCTGTTTCCTTTTCTAGTTCAATAAATCAGGATCAAATATCCATCTCTGATGTTTCTAGGCATATATTTATTTTGCATGTCTTAGATGAACTCTTTGATAATAGCTTAGCATAACCATGAATATTAGGTTAATAATATGATACTATGATTCTTCAATGAAGATAAACTCAGAAGATTGATATCTTTGTTCACATCCTTCTCTGTAATTTAATCTCACCAGAGATAGACCATTCTCTCGTTCAACTTCTCTAGGAACTATGACTCTAAATGTATTTGCTTTCAGAGAATCTCTCTTATCTCTCTCTCTCTCTTGCAGGTCTCAAAAAATAACAAAGACTGATAAAGAGCTTTACAGATAAAAACAACCCGGTGAATTTTTTTAGAAGGGTTATTTCCCACTTGATAAAAGGAAGAAATTAAGAGTGGCTAAGTGACTTGTTTATCACAGCCAGTACTAACAGTCATGGAATTTGAAACTAAAACAACATGATTATCACTGTAGACTTTCCTTCTGCAGCGAAGGTTTAGTACAAACAGACAAGACAAAAAGTCAAAAGAATGAATGTTATCACACTCATGTTAAAGAGGACTACTTAATATTTACTATTTTCTAAAAAAAAAAAGCCTCACTGTTTAGCAAGGTGGCCTAATATAGTCTAGCCAGAGGAAATTCCCAAAATTTCTGAAAAGCTACTTCAAGGGCAAAATACCTGTATGCCTCGCATATCCAGGGATCTGCTCTTACAAATCAGAAGTAGTCCTATTAGACCAGAGGCAATGTCTCTCATCATGTCAACATCACTGTAGTATGGTCTTGTTAAGCACTGGGCATCGTTTTCTGTGGGTTCATCAAACTCTAGGATGTTCCATTTATAAGTGTAAGTTTCTTCTGGCTGAACTGCTCTGATCATGGTGTTACTTCCTGGGAAAAATATATTAAAAATTTTTTTCATTTGTAAAATTATTTCCTGAAAATAAATAAGTAATCGAACTCTCATCAGAACCAAGTAATATCACAAAAGGAATATTATTTTCTATTAAACTCTATTTAGAGCCTAAATAACAGGTGGCCAGTAGATATCACTTCACTAGAGGCTGCAATGACACTAACAAAAGACACCATATTTCACAACCACTAACAGACAAAATCCCTGAAGTGAGAAGAGCTTATCATGTATACTACCTTACTGTGCTAGATATACCACTGGGCAAGGAAGATGGTAGAAAAATATGGCAGCCTCTCAGAAATCACTAGTTTGACTCAGTAGAAGTGAAAAATTCAAACCTGAAATGGAGGAAGAGTTGACTTCATCTTCATAAGGAGAGAAGGTCACTCCGTGAGGGTAAATGCTATAGGGGCGGCTGGCCGAATTTTTGAACACGATCTACAAAGTTAAGCCAAATTTATTATTCTAGGATTTAAGGTTGATCATGGGAATTAATATAGGATACTTGCTTTACATATTCACTTTTGGATGGAGTGTGTGTGTATGTGTGTGTGTGTGTGTGTGTGTGTGTGTGTGTGTGTGTATACACACAGGAAAATTAGCTATGCTTATCTGAGCAGCAACCACTCCCATCACCTGGCAGGGACATTTGAGAGAGAGTTTCACTCACATATTAAAATGGACAGAGAAGTCTGACTTTAGAGAACAGGTCAGAAGTGACATTTTCCTCACAATGTCACCCTCTCCAAGCTGGTTCCCATGACCCTCCTGTTCTCCTTTCAGTTTGGATCACATTTCCCTTTGAATCTGCTTCTTCTCATCTTTAGACCATGATCACCTTCTCCTAGGATGCTCCTAGAACTCCTAGGATCCTCCCCTAGGACACTGCCTTTGAACTTTGAAGCCATCTTCTTGAGGGGCGCAGACAAATAACCAGATCCTGAATTCCCAACAAGGTACATTTACACTCGCTAAGAGCACCTAAAAGGGACCAGAAATGAGTGAAGGGAAACAGGCATAAAGAAGGACTGCTTTTGTCCTTTTGTTATTTGTATTAATTTTGACTTTATTATTATTATTATTTTCCTTAGGCGGTCTCAAATTGAAAACTTGAGATCATGCCACTCATCAGTCTCCTGAGCAACTGCTTCTATTGGATATACTTTATTTTATTATAAAGATGTGGGGTACAAGTAAGGATTAGGTACAAAAGTAATATATGTGCAGGTGGCCCAATTGGTCCTCACTTCCCCAGGTTTAGGATCAGGTATCCTTTGTGTTGCTATGTGCCCCTCCCCTTCTTCCCTCCCCTGGCAGTGTCCTGTGACTAACAGAACAGGCTTTGTCAGGGTCATTTCTCACACAGGAGCCCTAGTTAGACTTTTTAATCTTCAGAAGAGAACCTTAATCTTCCTTCTGTTGGTTGATCGTCAGAGCATTTGGATCATCCTTAATCTGTACATTATCTGCATTCTAGGATTTGGCCAAAGATTGCAACCTTCAATTCTCTGCTTCCTTTCAACTCTCTTTTCTGTCCTAGTGATGTGCCATGCTCTTTAAGGAGAACTGTATGAGGAAAACTGCATGTTCTTGACACATGGAGTTTACCTTCATTGAGACCAGTTATTAGACAGCTGCCTACCTAGACCAAATTAAATAGTTGTTTTTACACACTTGTGTTTACTGTATGTTCTCAGCTGCAATGAGAAACAGTATTTTAAAAAATGATGCAATTTTAAAAAATCTATTATGCCAGTTATAGGACTTGTATCAAAGATGCTTTCCATTGCTTCAAGCAGTACCCTCTTTTGAAGGATCCTTGGAAGAAATTCCTCTTAAGTCTCAGTATCAGGGAAAACGTGCCTTTTTTATGAATGTTGTAAATTTTGCCCTGACATATTTCCTTTTTTCACTCTGGCTGATCTAAACCTTCAAATAAAATTTGCAGACAGCCTTATAGGATTGTATGGTATGTATTTCATAATACTTACCAGTGGCTTTATTTTCTTTGTTCCCATATTATCCTTTACCCTAATTCTATTGACTCTTTGTCTCATTCCTTTAGGATTTGATAAAATGTCCCAGATCCCTTGTATTATTGAGTAGACAATAAACAAATGCCAATACTAAATAAAAACTAAAAGATGCATTTGAATTTAAGATTATATGAACATCTTTTTCTTTTAAAATAAACAAATAACCAGGTACTCTAATATATTTTCTTATTTAATTTCTTTTTCCTTCATGGTTTTGTATTTTTGTTACTTACTTTGAGAGTGTCTCTGACCTGGGCTCTGATAACAGGACCCAAAATCCCATCTTCTTTGATACTGGGTCTGTCTATACGTTTGGTGAAGGACTCATCTTCATATTGTCTGTAAATAACTTTCTTATATTGTTTTCCAATTTGGTTTGAGAAATTATCCAAGTGCAGAGACCTGTATTTTCTTAAAGTGAAATGAAATTTAAAAAATTAAACCACTTTCTTAAATACGGACCCTAGCAGGATTGGGGAAGCCCTTGTGCTTAGAAGTTCTCTTCTTAGATTAGTTAAAGTGCAAGTCTCTAAAAACTTCTTAATGTAGTTTTCAAAGTTCTGATGTCTTCTTTCCAATTTTCCAAACTGGAAACCTCTGGATTGTCTCCGGCACTACTGATAGTCATAGGAAACTGGTAAGAAGCAACTACTTACATCTTTCTGTTACTTTGTGACAGCAGACACTAGATATGTCTTGGGAAAGGTATACACTTTCCCAAGTGAAAGCATAGGATACACTAGGAATTTTTCTTATATCTTTCTTATCACTTAGTCTGTGAAATCCTTATTGGTTTCCCAGGTATTTCTCAATCTCCAAAACTATTTTCCCACCACAGGAAGCTTTTACTATCATTATTAGTCACAGTTCTGTGTTGGGCTATCCCTTCTACCATCTTCCCAAACCTAGGTGCCAACTAAAAGAAGCTTCTTCACCCATCTTCTGTAGCTACTAGGATAAAGACTTTGGGAGTAGCGACATGAACCACTTTCCCCCTGCCTCTTAATTGCCTTGGTTTACAAAAGCAGAAGCTTCATGATCGAGTATCTATTTTATGCATGTATTTTGCATAGTGGAAGACACTGCTGCCAAAATGTCCTAGACTGAGCAGGGCTTGGTGACTCAGCCTGTAATCCCACACCTTGGGAGGCTGAGGTGAGTGGATTGCCTGAGCCTGTGGGTTCGAGACCTGCTTGGGCAACTTGGCGAGACCTCATCTCTACAATAAGTCAAAAATTAGCTGGGCATGGTAGCGCGCCTGTAGTTCCAGCTACTTGGAAGGCTGAGGTGGAAGGATCGCTGGAGCCCAGCAGGTCGAGGTTACAGTGGCCAGGAGCGGCCACTGCACTCCAGTCTGGGCGACAGAGTGAGACTCCAACTCAAAAAAAAAAAAAAAAAAGTCCTAGATTGCTAGCTCAGCTTTGTCACTAATCTCAGAATCTTGACCAAGTTTCTTCTTTTGATCTTTTGTTAGTTTAATTTTTTTTAATAGAAAATACATTCTTATTATTTTTATTACAGTGAAAATTATTACACCCAATATTCCCTCAACTTGATCTCCCTAACCCTTCCTAGATTTTCTAGGTAGCCACTTATATTAATTCTATGTGTATAATTCCAGAATATCTTTATGCAAATATATGCAAATATGTCTTACAAATATATATATTCTTATCCCCCCTCCTTCAACAAAAGGCAGCTCTTTATATACTCTATACTACATCTTAACTTTTAACAAATTATTAAAGTGAATTTATTTTTTGATTTTTTAATTTCAGATTCAAGGGGTATAAGTGCATGTTTATTACATGGTATATTGAGTACTGATGGGGATTGGGCTTCTGGTGTACTCATTACCTAAATGGTGAACAATGTACCCAACAGGCAATTTTCAACTTCTGTCCCCCCATCCTCCCCACTTTTGGAGTCCCCAGTGTCTATTATTTCCATCTTTATGTCCATGTGTACCCATTGTTTAGCTACCACTTATAAGTAAGAACATATAGTATTTGTTTTTCTGTTTCTGAGTTAGTTTATTTAGGATAATGGCCTTCAACTCCATCCACATTGCTACAGACCTCTTGACTTTTTAATTTAATAATGCATCTTGGAGAATTTTTATATTAGTACACAGAGAGTGTTTGCGTCTTTTTTTGCAGATGCATAGTGTTCCATTGTGTGAATTAGTCATCATCTATTAAACTAGTTTCCTATTGATGGACATTTGACTTGTTTCCAATCTTTTGCAGTGAGCGCTCTCTCTCTCTCTATTATTTCACCTGTGAACAAGTATGTCTATACAGTTAAACTCCCTGAGTGAGATTGCTGGGTCAAAGGTTATATGCTTTTATAATTTTGATACATATTGCCAAATTATCTTCTAGAATGTCTTTACCAATTTACTCTTCCACTAGCAATATATGATAGTGCTCAAAGTCTTGCCAACAGATGATGTCATATGGATTTGTGAGTCTGATAGTTAAAAAAGAGTACTCCATGAAGTTTTTTGTTTTTGTTTTTTTGGTTTTTTTGAGTTGGAGTCTCACTCTGTCGCTCAGACTGGAGTGCAGTGGCCTCTTCCGGCCACCACAGCCTCGACCTGCTGGGCTCCGGTGATCCTTCCGCCTCAGCCTTCCAAGTCGCCGGAATTACAGGCATGCACTACCACGCCCAGCTGATTTTTTTATTTTATTGCAGAGATGAGGTCTCGCTGCCCAGGCGGGTCTCAAACCCGCGGGCTCAAGCAATCCATTCACCTCAGCCTCCCAAAGGCGCGGGTTACAGGCTGAGCCACCAAGCCCGGCTCTCCGTTAGTTTTCTATTGTTGCTGAAACACATCGTCACAAACGTACAACATCAACTTATATTTTAGTTTTGTAGGGCAGAAGCCCATTGTGTCTCAGTGGCCTAAAAGCCAGGTGCTGGCAGGGCTTTGCTCCTTCTTTGTGCTGTTACCTGTGGTTTCTGCCTTCCTGAAGCCCCTCACACTTGTTCGTGCCCTACTTCCTCCATCTCAAAGCCAGAAATGGTGGGTCAGGTTCTCACTTTGCATCACTCTGACCTCCAGCTCCCAATTCCACCTTGAAAAACCCTGGTGATGACATTGGGACCAGCCTCATTTCTCCAAGTGGCCTGCTCTCATACCTCTCTTCTTACACATTAAACTGTTGGCACTTAAAAAAAATAAGTGCGGAGTCAGCGTTAGATTATTAAACTCCCTGACTCTCTCCAGGTTCTCTTCACCTGGCCATGCATTCAGGGCTCAGTCCAGATGCCCTTTCCTTCAAAAAGTCTTTCCATCTGCCTCTTACTTCCCCTCCCAAGGTAGATCTCCAGATGATTTTCTCTAACAGCACTCTATCATTCTCTACATTGTCATCAATAGAATGTTCCTTTGCAATCATGTGGCATTCGTCTTTTCCCTCTACTTGACACTGAACATTAAGGATTGGAATCATTTGTAATTTATATTTATATGTCCAGCATTTAATACAGTAGCTTTTAGTACAGTGTTTTTCAGTCTATAAATTATCATCCATTAGTGGGTGGGTTGTGAAAGAAGATTGAATTTGGCCATTA